CACCCTGAACCATCACAGACATGTATAAATGTGGGCTGGGGTGATGGCTCAGTGGGTACAGTGCTTGCAAGCGTGAAACTATGCAATGCCAGATGCAGCAGTGCATGTCTCTAATCCCAGCCCTCCTACTGCAAGATGGGAGGTGGAGACAAGAGAATTCCTGGAAGGCTAGCCTGCTGTATGCCGAGTCAGGAAGGAAGGAAGAATTAAGAAAGAAGGAAAATTTGTACATGAATTTTGTGGGGTGACAAAAATATTTAATTTTACAAGATTATCAAATGTGTACTTGAGAGTTGGGCATGGTGGTGCATGCCTGTAATCTCAGCATGGGAAATGGAGGAAGCAAACAGTATCAAAGTGTATTAAACCAAGGCTTAGACCTGTTGATCTAGAGCACTGGTTCCCCATTTGGTGATGGCTGCTCCCTAGGCCAACATTGTAGGGAGTTCTGAGGATGTGTGTGCTTCTCAGATCTTGTGTGTAGAGGTTGATACTGCCAAAGGTTGTACAGAGCACAAGATAATCCTCCCGCACACCCCAACACAGAATAATTATGTCAACATGCTGAGATTGAGAGACCCAATTACAGAATTAAGACTTAGGACACCTGGAATGAATTTAATATTATTTTGGGCGAAATATCCCATAATTATGGGAAAAAATGAAACAAATCATACTCACATCCTGTGACAGAATGTTTTGTACCTAATTATCTTCATAAAAATCATGGGTCTGTGGATTGTAGTATGGTTATCCTTTATTTTGTGACTAATATTCCCCTTTAAGTGAGTACATGCTATGTTTATCTTATGGAGTCTGGGTTACATCATTCAGGGTGATATTTTCTAGTTCTATCCATTTGCCTGCAAATTTCAAGATGCCATTGCTTTTAACAGCTGAGTAATCTTCCATTGTGTAAATGTACCACATTTTCTTTATCCATTCTTTGGCTGATGGACATCTAGGTTTTTCCAGGTTCTTGCTATTACAAATAAAGCTTTTATGAAGATAGTTGATAAAGTGTCCTTGTGGTAATGTAGAGCATCCTTTGGGTATATGATCAATAGTGGTGTAACTGGGTCTTGAGGTAGATCGAGTTTCAATTTTCAGAGAAACCACCATATTAATTTCTAAGGTGTACAGCCATACAAATTTGAACTCCCACCAGCAGTGGAGGTGGAGGAGTGTTTCTCTTCCTCCAAATCCTCTCCAGCATGAGCTGTCACTTGTGTTTTTGATCTTAGCCATTCTGACAGGTGTAAGATGGAATCTCAGAGTCATTTATTTACATTTCCCTGATGGCTAAGGATGTTGAACATCTCAAGTGTTTCTATGCCATTTGAGATTCTTCTGTTGAGAATTCTCTATTTAGATCTATAGCCTGTTTTCTAATTGGATCATTTGGTTTGTTGGTGTCTAGTTTCGTGAGTCCTTGATATATTTTGGAAATCAGCTCTCTGTCAGGTGTGGGGTTAGTGAAGATCTTTTCCCATTCTGTAGGTTGCCGTTTTGTCTTATTGACAGTGTCCTTTGCTTTACAGAAGCTTTTCAGTTTCGTGAGGTCCCATTTATTTATTGTTGACGTTAGTGTCTGAACAATTGGTGTTCTGTCCAGGAAGTTTCTCCTTTGCCAATTCGTTCAAGGGTATTCCCTACTTTTTTTTCTATCAGGTCTGGATGGGGAGGTGGGCATGGGACCAGGAGAGATCAGGGGAGGATGGAGGGAGAGAATACTGGAAAAGACAACTAGAATCAGGGGCATCTCTGGGATGAGCTCGAAACCTAGTGCAGTGGAAACTCCTAGAAATCTATGAGGGTGACCCTACCTAAGACTCCTAGCAATGAGCGATACAGAGCCTGAACCAGCCATCTTCTGTAACCAGGCAAGACTTCCAGTGGAGGGAATGGAACCCCAACCCAACCACATTACCTCTGACCTACAATTTGTCCTGCCTACAAGATACACTGGGACAAAGGGTACAGAAATTATGGGAGTGGCCACACAATGAGTAGTGGTCCAGCTTGAGACCCATACTAAGAGAGGGAGCTCACACCTGACACTACCTGGAGGGCCAGGACCCAGAGGCTGGATAGCCCAGGCACCTAAGGTAGAACCAAACATGACTGCCAAAAAAGAAAAAAAGTCAATAAAATGATTCCTAATGATATTCTCCTATACTCATAGATCGTTGCCTAGCCTTATTGTCATCAGAGAGGCTTCACCCAGCAATGGATGAAAACAGATGCAGAGACCCACAGTCAAACATTGGGCATACCTTTTCAAATCCTGTGGAAGAGGTGGAAGAAGGATTGTGGGAGCCAGAGGGACCAAGGGCACCATGGGAAAACACACATAGTCAATTCTGGTCTCATGGGGCTCACAGACACTGAACCAGAAAACTTGCATGGCTAACCTGGGCCCTCTGCAGTTGTGTGGCTTGGTCTTCTTGTGGGACTCCTGGCAGAGGGAGCAGAGGCTGTCTCTGACTCTGTTGCCAGCTCTTGGGACCCTTTCTTCCTGCTGGGTTGCCTCATCTAGCCTTAATAGGAGAGGGGGTGCCTAGTCTTGCTGTAAGTTGATATGCCATGGCTGGCTCATATACGTGGGAGGCCTAAATGTTTCTGAAGGGAAAGGAAAAGGAGTGGATGGGAGAATGTGGGGGAGATTCAGGGAAGGACTGGAAGGAGAAGAAGGAGGAGGAGGGAAACTATGATTGGGCTAAGAAATTAATGAATTGATTAATAAAATTTTTTTAATAAAAAATTTTAAAGACAATTACAGTTTAATTGATACAATGGAAGCCATAATCATATCTGAGGGAAAGCACTCAGGAAAGTGTTCCATGGTGTACTATCCCATTCACTCAGAGTGGGTCCGGATGCTGAACGCTGCCTGAGGATGCAGCTGCAGACCCTCCAGCTTTGCTGTTACCCCTGTCCGCCCTGAAAGATGGGATTCCAGTAGGAAGAGCTGCTTACAGTAGAAGGAGGGGCCCAGTCTAGGGCTAGCTGGATCTCAGCATGGAAGATGGGATCCCTTCTGCTGGCATCTTCTGGAGGAACTAAAGACAGTCATGCTTATGCTCTGCACATCCACACTGAGCCCTCATGCAATGCGTTGTCTGGGGTTAGGACAGAATCGTCTTTGTGTAGACTCCCGTCTGCTTCTAATTTGTGTGGGGGAGGCTATGAGCAGTGGGAGAGGAGTGTGTGAGTGGGGATGCTTGAGATATAAAAGTAGTCGATGAAATCATGCTGACCTAAGTCAGTCTGGGAACATCAAGTCACAATCCACTGAAAGGCTTTCTTTTTGTCCCCCAGGGGAGGATCCTGAAGAAGGATGGCCAGCTCTAGTTCTCAACACATGGTCTGTGTAAGTTGACTTTGTCTCTTTACATAGGGTGACTTTCAGGTTAGGCGAGTGTTTGCTGTCTTCCTCTTGTGAAGCTTCCCAAGGACCAGAAATCCTCCAGCCCAGTCTGCCCCATTACAGTGAGGGTTGGAAGACCAGAGCACTTCTGTCTGGGGCTCTTTCCTGCTGGTTCTGGAGTTTTCTTTGAATGCATCCGTGCATATCCGCTTTCTGCTTGGTCTGTGGTCAGGGAGGACTGTCGTTGCAGAGGAGGTGACAGTCCACAGGGAAGCAGGGTCTTTGGGGGTTTCAGAACGTTGAGGTGATGGTCTCCTTTGACTGCACTGGGAATCCTGATTGACATCTTCGGTGTTTTCAGGCTGATGACACAGGGTTTGAGAGCGAAAGGCCTTGGTGATGAGATGACCTGCTTGAGGGGCTTTAAGAGAGTTCAGTGATGAGAGGGAAAGGTCATCCAGGCTGTGATTGGGAGGGGACTGTCGCCTCCAGAGTCCAGGAGGACCTGAGATGTAGGTGCCATTTTGTTTTCTACTTTTTTGTTTTTTGAAGAGGGCATAAAAGGTTGAATCTAATATGCCAGTAGTAAGGACTTTTATGTAGTTTATGGACTCTTACATAGTTTATGCACTCTTACATAGTTTACAAAAGTCATTCTTGTGACAGAGAGTCTTTATGATATCATCTGATACCATAATAAACTCAAGAACTCACACTATTTCTTAGATTTTACACTGAACCCTGGTGACATTTCTCTCTTGTGGGCTATAACTTGAAGGGTGTGGATAGAATGGAAATACACATTTATTAGATGCATAGGGTGTGTACTGTCATCCTTTACTGGGGGAGCTCGTGCAGTCAGGTACTTTGAACATTTCCATGTCTTCATCCTGTTCTTGAGTCCTTTCCCCTCTGATTTTCCATCTTGAATGCTTCCCCAATTTCACTCTACTTGTGTTTGTGGTTTCAGGGGTCAGTGACATTTAGGGATGTGGCTGTTGACTTCTCTCAGGAGGAGTGGGCCTGCCTGGATGCTTCTCAGAGGGTCTTATACAGGGACATGATGTTGGAGACCTACAGCAACCTCGTCACAGTGGGTAAGGCCATCTGTCCCCATGAAAGGGGGATGTGCTCTCTACACTGTTGGCTTTCCTCACTCTGAATGAAAAGACAGGGCCATTTTTCTGTGGTAGCTGAAGCTGGGCTTGGTGGCATGTCTGTCATTCCTTTACTCAGAAAACTGAGGCAGGATGGTGTCTGTGAGTTCAGGGTCACCCTCAGGTACATAGTGAGTTCTAGGGTAGCCTAATCTACAGGGTGAGGCCCGGTTTAAAACAAAACAAACTAAACAACAAAGTAAATGAAATAAATAAGGAAACAAATAAATAGAATTAGTAACTAGAGAGATAGGTTGGTTAAGACAACTGGTTGCTCTTGCAAGAGCCTGGGTTCAATTCCCACCATATATAAGGTACCTCAAAAATCATCGAGAACTCCAGTTCCAAGGCATCTGATGGCCTCTTCTGGCCTTGATGGGCACCATGCACACATGTAGTGATCAGACATACATGCAGACAGACACTCACATACACTTAAATTAGGTTTTAATCAATAAAATTTTAAAAGAAGTAGCTGAGTTTTTCTTCTCAAATTAACAATTAGAGATTTGTTGGGTTGAAATAGGAGCTTCGTGAAGCATCTGCCTTTTCCACACCCCTTGGAGATCCTCTCATTGAGCTCTAGTTTCAGTGAGAGACCCTGTCTCAAAAACTAAACTAGATAGTAGTCTATGTGAACATCTTACACTGGTCTTTGGCCTCTACACACACATAAATGAATCCCTACTCGTACTTGTACACACACTCTTATGAACACATATATACACATATATATGTGCACACATATACCACTGAGTAAAAGAGCCAATAGGATTCACTTACTAATGAATCAATAGGGTTGATTTAAAACTGAAGTGGTCACATTCTATTTTCTTCAGTGAACACTTCCTTTGCTTGGCTTGTTGTGGAAGTTTCAGGCTGTGAAGTTTGTCGTTTTCATTGAACAAATCTATAAGATTGAATTATAACTGTAAAAGAAGGCAACATAAATAGTAATACTGATAATAGTTTTCGTGGCTGGAGATAATAACTCTGTGGTAGAGCACTTACCCAGCATGTCCAAGGCCCTAGTTCAGTCTCTGTCATTATAAGGTGAATAATTGGAAATTAAAATAATAATTTTGTGTTAGTATAGGTCAGACAGTATTCAAAGTTTTTGAATATAGTGTTTAATATCAGTATCACCCCTATCCAATAGATATCAACTCAATCTAAATAATAATGATAATTGATAATAATAATATAAGGCTTGGAATGTAACTCAATGTTAGAGTACTTTCAATAATAATAATAATGATAATAAAAATAATAATAAAATTATTTGGTTTTTTGAGGTCAGGTCTCATGTAGCTCAGGCTGGCTATGGAGTTGCTATGACACTAAGGCTGGCCTTGAACTTCTCATCTGCCTGCTTCACTTCTCAAGTGTTGTGATTTCAAGTGTGTGCCATTATGCCCAGTTTTTAGATGGGAAAATTGACCATAGAATCCTAAATAAATGGCATTATTAGTGAGCTGCAGAGAAGGGGTTTACACTAACAGTGTAGCCTAAGGTTCATGTTCCCCCACTATATGTACTTTCCCCTTCAGTGACAAGCCCTTATCTGCCTTTAAATGAGATTAAACCCTTTTCTGCAACAGCTGGTTTCTCACCCAGGTTCTCCTCTGAAGTCTTTCCTCAGTATTATTTTGTCTCTTAGAGTATTTTATCTGGTTTTCCAAGACAAGGGTCTTGCTGTGCAGCACAGATTGGCCCGGCTCATTCCCCACCTGCTGAGCTAACAGGCATGGTCCACCATGCCAAACTGTATAGACCTTCATAATAAATAAGTCTGTAGTTTTCAAAATCTGCACAGGCAGCTCATGGTGGCACACACCTTTAATCCCAGCATTTGGGAGGCAGGGGCAGGCAGATCAAGGAAGTTCCAGCACAGCCTGGTCATCATTTTGAGTTCCAGGTCATCCTGGGATAACTAGAGGGACTGAGTTTAAAACGTCTCCACGTGTCATTTCTTCTTTCTTTTAAGTGGGATGTTCCATTTCCAAACCCGATCTGATCGCCTTATTAGAGCAGGAGAGAGAACCCTGGATGGTTGTGAAGGAAGAAACGGACAGGCCCAGCCCAGGTGAGTAAGAGGAAGGCAGGTCTCCAGCATTGCCAGGCACAGCATGTGGTCGGAGAGTCGCCTCATGGCTGACACTAAGTTGACACACTTTCTTCCACTTGCCAAGGCCTGTGGAAGAACATGCCTGAGACATGGGAAGGAAGTCAAGGTCGTAGCAAAGGCTGTCACAGGGCTTCTAGTTCATGACTCGCTAAGTTGTCCTCACCTTCTTCCCTCTTACTGGAGCAGTTACCCATTCTACCATTTTAAACATACCTTATTGGGTGTGTGTGTGCACACAGGTGTGCAGGTTCCCAAAGAGGCCAAAAGAGAATATCAGATCCCCTGGGGCTGGAGTTACAGGTGGCTGCTGGTACTGGAACCCAGGTCCTCTGGAAGAGCTGTCAGTGTCCTTAACTGCTGATCCAGTGATAAGACACTTTGAATACCAGTGAATGCAGGAACACAGTGAGGCATAGCAAATGTTTTAATTGTATATCTTCCTAGTCACTCTAGTCAAGGTGTGATGGTGTGGCCTTTGCTTCTAATTGCAGCACTGGGGAAGTGGAAAAAGCTGATCCCTTCCCTTGCTAACAACTCGGCCTACTTTACCTGTCAAGTGCCGGAATCCAGCTCCAGTGGGATTCTGATCCACAGGAAAGAGGTGTGAAGTTGGTGAAAAAGACCACCAGTTGTCTTTCAAACAGATGGCACCAGATAGCTCAAGCTATCTTTATTTATACAAGTTCTGATGCATTCAAGCATGAACAGTTTGAATACATATCTCTTTAATCATTTTCCAAGAATCATTAATAACTTAGTTTCTTTTCCTCTTTCCCACTCCCTTGACATCATTGACCTTTACCCCATATTATTAATTTTTATATTGGAAGCCAAATGATTATATCCAGCCAGGCACATCTTTTCCCAACTGTGCCCTAGACAACAGCAAACATGCATTTATAAAATGAGAGATTCAAACTCTATAATTAACAAGTTTTTAACAATGTGATACTTTTATATTTTTTGTAATCAGCTGAATGTATGATGCCATCCCTACAATATTATTTTCAGGTGTAAGTCAATTTCTGAATAATCTGTGAACAACAGTTGTAGTCCTATTCTTGATACATTCTCAAAATGGTAATAATTATCTAACTCTTTAAATGATGGGGCCAAGTTGATATTCTTCCTGGCAGTTTCTTTTTTTTTTAATTAATTAATTTATTTTTCTATTATCAGCTTGATACAGTATAAATTCTTATCCTAATAGTGAAATGTTTGATTGAGGCTTGCCCAGTGATTGAGTAAAACCAAAACTTAGAAGCCACAGTCATCCTAGGGTTCCCCCTGGTTCTGTGGGTTGCAGTCTGATTGTTCTTTGCTTTATATCTAGAATCCACTTATGAGTGAGTACATAC